CTAGGGCAGGGATGGAGGAGGGAGAAGGCAGTTAACCCTATGGGAACAGGAAAGGCAGCAGAGGAGAAATGTACAACACCCTACCCATTCAGCCCCATGTTACTGGGGTTTCTGAAATCTGGAATTATTTGGTAAGTGGATGAGTTTAGGACTGAAAGTTATGGAACCCAAGTACAGAAAGGGAATTTACAATAAAAGAATCTATGAAATGAAAGCTCTGACAAGGTCATGGCATTTTCCAACACGTTCCTTGGAAGTAGAAAAGGCAAGATGTATCTGCTTTGTTAGATGTGCCAGGAGCTTATGCTGTGAGCTTTTTGATACCCTGCTTTGTAAAAAGTGCATTCCTTTCCTAGTGAATCCTACTTTTATTTTGACTTTTTCAATTTTGTGGGTCCAGGATTAGGATCATCTTCGGACCACTGGGAGTCCCCTGGGTGATACAAAGAAAGATACTGTTGTGTGAACTGAAAGATTGGCTGTAGAAACCCCTCCAAAGGGTCCCTGGAGAAAATGCATGGTAATCTACTTCTGAGGACACTTCCCCTCTGCACACAGGGGTCTGTCTTGCCCTCTGAACATTTACAATCTCAGAAACCCAATATAGGGTCGCAATGAGTCAGAATCGACGTGATGACAATGCATTTGGTTTTGGTTTTCCTGACCTGATGGCACTTAACAACAACAGTCCACAGGTGGTGCATATGTTAAACATGCTTGCTATTAACTTAAAGGTTGGAGGTTCAAGTCTTCAACTTCAGAAGAAAGACTTGGTGATCTACTTCAGAAAAATCAGTCATTGTGACCCCTCTGGAGCATGTTTCAGTTCTGATACACATGGACTCACCGTGAACTTGAATCTCATAGACCACGTGGCAACTGGTGGTTTCTGCACCCAGGAACCACTGACAGTGTCTGAAGGATTTCGGATGGTCACAACTAGGGACATACTACTGGCATTTAGTGAGTAGAGATCAGGGGTGCTGCTAAACATCCTACAATGTACAAGACAATTCCCACAACAAAGAATTATCCAATCCAAAATATCAACAGTGCTGTGCTGAGAAGCTCTGACCTAGTGAGAGGCCGATGAGTGAACAGAAAGGATAGCATTGTGAAAGAGGTGATCAGACAGAGACATGTTTAAGTTGTATGGGACCCTAGAGAGACAGAGGGTCTTCAACCTTTTTTTTTTTAAACAGACAATCACATTGCTTATTCTTCTGGAAATGACAAATTGAAGAGGAATGGCATTGCGTTCATCATCAAAAAGAACAGTTCAAGATCTATCTTGAAGTACAACGCTATCTGTGAAAGAATAACATGCCTACACCTACACTGAAGACCAGTTACTACAACTGTTATTTCAATTTACACATCAACCACTTATGCCACTGGTGATGAATTCTACAACTTCTTCAGTCTGAAATTGATCAAACATTGCAATCATGATGTACTGATAATTACTGGTGATCAGAATGCAAAGACTAGGAAAAAAGAGGGAGGATCAGTGATTGAAAAATAGGGCCTTGGTGAAAAAAGTGATGCTAGAGATCGCATAGTAGAATTTTTCGAGACCATTAATTTCTTCCTTGCAAATACATTGTTTAAACAGCATAAAAGATGGCTATGCACATGGAGTCCTGGTGTGGCGCTGTGGGTTAATGTGCCAGACTGCAAAGTCGTTTGAACTGCAAGGTTGGCGGTTCAAGCTCACCAGCTGCTCCTCGGAAACTACAGAGGGTCGCTATGGGTCGGGATCGACTCGACGGCACTTAACAACAACAACATTCACATGGGGTCTTTAACTTTTAAAATGAAATAAATACTGACATTTTCACCTTGAGTCATTGCGATTTTTGCTGTAGTTATTTCAACTTTTATAAAGAAGTACCTCAAACAGCCCTGAAACTATGACCCTCAGAAATACTTTAGACCTGAACCTGAACACTCCACCCATCTCTCCATCACCTTTTAGTCAAACTGATGACAGTCCTACAAACTGAACAATAATACCTGTGAGGGCTCCTCAGAACAATCGACCCTAGGAGACCAAAAGGGCAATATGCTGAAAGACAAAGTTCAGACGGCAAGAATGGGTAGGAGAAATGGGCGGATGAAAACAAGGAACCCAGGGAGGAAGGGGGAAGACTGCAGTTACATCGAGGGGGTGGCAACCAGTGTCATGCAACAAAATGTACAGGAATTGTCAAATGGAAAACTAATTTGCTCTTGTAAACTTCCCTCCAAACCACAATAAAATGTTCCACAACAATAAAAACAAATGAATTAAATGTATTTAAGAAAAAAAAAAAAAAGTACCTCTAATAATAGTTCCTCATTTCTGGGAACAGCAAGCTATGCTGACTTCATCATAGCACTCCAAAATTAGGGCAGACTCTGCTGGGTCCGGAGGTTGGAATCACCTGGCTTGATTAGATAGAAGCTTTATGGTCAAGTCTTAGTACCACTGCTGGCTTGGAGTATTGGAAAGATCTCATTGGAAATGTACTGAAATACTAAACAATGGCTGTGGATATGGACATCTAAGATTCTATCACTTCCTCTCCTCACATCTCAGAGCAATACCGCAGACACAGCTGTTCAGCAAACACATGCATCCACCTCCTCAGTGGGGAAATGTGAGCTTTCCCGACCACTGAAGTTACCAGTCAGGATGCAGCCGCCTCCGACACTCACATCCATACCTCCACCTGGCCAGATTCTCACTTGGCAGCCAAGTTTTTGTTTTTTCAATGAAAGGGGAAACAACAGAGTTTTTTAACCCTTAAACAACCATGTTTGCAAACACCTTTTAAGAGTCTAAACTACATGAAATTGAATTTTAAGAAGAATAAACGTAAGTACTCTATTTTAAGTAAAACCAGTGAAAACTGGAAACTGTACAACAGAGAAGGAATACTAAAACAAAAATTTCCACTAAAAACAAAGGTGGGAAACTTGGGAGTCCCAGAAAAACAAGGCAGTCCTATTGAGTTTGGCTTACACAGGTTTCAACAACATACATTAACATGACTTTACTTTCTAAGATGTGTAAGTTTCCAAGGGGAACCAGCGGAGTTAGCTGATGGCCTTTTACCTTCCTCAAGTGTCTAGTTCTGGGTTTGCTGTGAAGGGCAGGTTTGAAACAGGTCTTGAATGCCACCTCCACATCCTTTTCCTCCTTTTCCAGAAACCAAGTAGATGCTAATGTTTCCCTGTCGGTCTGACTCTCAGACAAAAGCGAGTATCAAACCAAACCCACTGCTGCAGAGTCCAACTCCTGGTGACCTCATGTGTGACAGAGTAGAACCACCCATAAGGTTTTCTCGGCTGCTGTGTAAAAGCAAATCATCAGACCTTTCTACTGGGTGGGTTTGAACCACCAATCTTTAGGTTACCAGGCAAGTGCAAATCTTTATACCACGCAGGAGACTCTCAGAGAGGCTTGCTTAAAGCAGCAAGGAGCCTGTAATAAGGAAGGCCCAGCAACCAGTCAGGACTCTCAGAAAAGGGCCACAAGTAACAATGGGGTTGAATGAGGTACCTGAGACTTCTGAATCACCCTGTCCACACCTCAGTAAAAATGAATGGTTTGGAGGCAACCATAGCCACCAACAGGGCTTATTTGATGTCCTTCCTTTCTCAAGTATGATTTTATTGAAAGCAGAGAATCCTGCTGCAGGATGAGAGGAGTTAAGAATGTTTTTTTTCGTTGTTAAAGTGGAAACCATTTTAAACAACTCATTCTTTCATGTATTTTAATAGGATCATGTTAGGAATTGGGTAATGAGGTGATGTCTGGCAAATACTTATAAGAATATCTAACAGTTGTTGGGTACTTACTTTGTGCCAGGCATTGTGTTAAATGCTTTGCACACAAAAAGAAATAGACTTTAAATATATACTTGATGTTAGGGATTCCCTCATGATCAGCTGTACCCACTAACCATGCTAGTTAGCATCCTCGTGGAGACAGAAGGTGTGGCAGAGGGAAGCTGGGGAGGGCCTGAACCTGAGCTTGAAATGTGGTGACAGGCAATACAATAGAGCCTCCCTCAGTTCCCGGACAACTCTCAGACAGGGTTGTGGACGCCTCTCAGGAGGGAGGCAATGACTTTCTCCTGCAAAGAGCACATGGTGACTTGGGTGACTCATTGGAAACATAAAAGAGATGTGACTGTGTTGATACCTTAGGTTCGCAAAGCAGGGCTGACCAGGTTAAGTCATCCAAGTACTATGAGTAAGCACCACACTCCCTGTAGTGGCATAGGCAGGCGATGCTTAGCTTAGACCCACTTGTTCCCTTTCATCATTCTACATACTACTGCCCCCCCTCACCAAGCTTCAGTGGACTTTGTTTCCAACAGCTCAGATCGACACTGAGGACTGCCTTTGTGGTGCTGGAGACACTGCCTGCCTGCAGAGAGACCAATGTGTCTGCTGGTTGTAGGAAGGGACAGTTCCTCTGCCGCAAGTAAGGAAACAGAAATGCAACTAATACTTCAGAGCTTCCTGAAGGGTCAGGCTGAAGCTACACTTTGTCTAACATCACAATTTTACTTGACTTTTTCCTTTCCCTGATCTTTGCCCTTACCAGATGCCTCTGGGAACACATCTCCAATAAAAAAGTTGTTGAGTGCCACTGAGTAGATTCAGGTTCATGTCAATCCCCCTGTGTGTAGAGTAAAATTACTCCATAGGGTTTTAGAGGCAGACCGATAGGCCTGTCTTCTGACCTGGGTGGGTTCTAACTTCTAACTTTTCAGCTAATAGCTAAGAGATCAACCATTTGCATCACTGCATATACTAAGAGCTTCATCTCAGGGCCTGTTTCTGGGGAAATCAGTCTAAGACCTTTTCTGAGAATTTATTTGCTATGTTGGTGGTGGTGATGGTGATATGTTGGCATGTGTCCTTACATCCTATGTGATGAGCTACAACTATACCAACACCTTTGCATATATCCACCCCAGACAGGGCACACCCAACCTTCTTACATTTTCTTCCAGGGAAGTCAGCTGCTCGTCCAGTCTCGCTTGGTCTGTCCCAAGAGGAAATGTTCCCTTCACTTGGTCAGGAAGGTCTGCTGAGAACTCCCAGGGCCCCGTAGACTCTGCTATCAATTCCTCTGTAGCATTGATGACTTTCAGGACTTCTGTGGAGATGTTGCAGAGAGAAACAGCAGAATACTTCTGTTTGATCCAACAACAGAAGGGGACAGAAGACAAGAACAACACATTAACAATGACATGGAAATTCTACATTATCATGGGGCTCATCATCATGAGATCGATTCCATTATAACACACACAAACATGGATGTGCTGGAGTGAGCAGATGAACAACATAGGTAGTAGGAGGGAATGTGGAAGAGGCATGATTTGACTCTGCTTATGAACCAATTCAACGGCACTTAACAACATGTTCTGTGACTCAGTGAAGTATTTCAGGGGATGACAGCTCCAGTGGAAACTACTATGTCCTCTGTTCACTGCTGAAAGTTTTAGATCTAATACCTCACTTACCAGATGATATTGTATTCCTTCAACATAATCTCACTCACGAACACTGTCAAACCATGGTAGTTTGGTGTAGTAGATTCTTTTTTTCCCTTTTCTTGTGGCTAATATATATCCTGTTTTCTTGCTGCAATTAGTCATAATAATTAAGCACTACTGAATCATAAGAATCTTTTTTCACCAGACCCATCTACAGACAAGAGGAAAACTATTCAGTGGGGATTCTGCCTTCCCCTGCACACTCTCAAACTAAACTCCCTCTGGAAAATTTGTAAGGCAGTCACTTCGTGCCTTTATAGCACCCCCATTTTACGTAGCCAATGTCTAAGTTGCCTGTTCCTATCATTGATCCTTGATGTGAAGACTCCTTCCATCTAAGTTGGTATTTTGAATTACTACACCCATAAGTAAAGGTCAAGTTCATCAAATTGGAGCAAATTACACTTGTTTCCTTTATCAAAAAAATTTTTTTTATCTTCCTCTAGTCGAGTTCTGATCAAGCCATTGAAGTTTGGTCGAATGGGTTTTATCTGCAAGTTTGGGCATTCTTGGGCATCTCCCTCAGTTCATGTCAGCTGGATGCTTCACTCTCAGCTTTAGTCCTCCGTGGCTATGTCCTTGTACACGGTCTCAGGTGTACCCAGGTCTCACCACACTTTGAACCAACCAGCCCTTCCTCTTCTCTCTCTCCAGGTCGACAGGAGTTTATGAAACATGGTTGAACTCAGCCCTTATCTTCATTGCTGCATTTCCCCCTCTTCCACTCACCAGCAGACCAACTTGGTCACCAAGCAAGCTTACGTGCCTGTTCATGTGTTTCCTTTGAGTTTCAGTCATGGAGGAAAATACTTACTTTTGAAGCCCCCTTGTATATAACAAATTGTTGCCATTTTAAAGTCTTCAGTGTACAATTCAATGACATTAGTTTTATCTTGTCCCTCGATCACTATCATTATCCTTTCCCAAAACTTACCATCACTTTTAGAAGAGGCTCAGTAACCAGTGGATATCTTCTTGGGGGCTGGGAAACATGAGCTCTTTATCTGGCCCTAACCTCATTTAATAATAGGATCTTGGTGAAAATTACTTCCCATTTCTGGCACTCGGCTTTGTCATTTGTTCACTGAGAGAATTATCACTGAGAGAATTTGAATAAGTTTCTCTGTAGTTGCTTGATGACACTGAGTTATTCTCAACTCAGTATCCTTTGCTTTCCTCTGGCATTGAGGCTGACCTGACAAATCATTCTATCTCCCAGTCCCCCTTACAAGCAGAGAGTAGCCACAGGGCGTAGATTTGAGGAGTGAGGGTTTCTAGAAACAAACTTTTTACTTCCTGATCAGGGTCTATAGCACAGTTGATACAACCCTTCCCACTTCTTTCTACCTTATACATAAATGTGCAACTCAAGAGTCAATAAGAGGGAAGATAAACGTCAAGAATAAAATGGAGCAGAAAGCCTGGAAGAGCCTAGGACTAGACAACACTGGTTCAGTGGATTCACTGTGAGTCACTACCATCGTATACAGAGTTAGTTATAAGACAAAGATAGACTTGTACTTGTTGAAGCCAAGGAACTGTGGTAGCATAGGGGGTATGAGTCTGGCTGCTAACCTCAAGGTCAGCAGTTTGACACTAACAGCTACTCCGCAAGAGAAGCTTGTGGTTTTCTGCTCCCATAAAGATTGACAGCCTCAGAATCCTTATACAGGGTCACTGAGTCAGAACTGACTCCACAGCACATCACCACCACCACCACCACCATTTGTTAAAGCCACTGTTGGCCAGATTTTTGCCAATTGCAGCTGAACATTTTCCTGACACAGATCACTTGCAGGTTTTACATTCACGTTTCAGAATGACCATGTTCAGGTTTAGGCCAAGGCTATTAATGAAGCAGAGACATTTAAAACATTAAGAATTATCTGCGTCTCTGAATCCATTTGGACATATAACACCAAAGCAATAAGCTGGAGATCAGTGTTGTTTGGCAGACATTAATTCGGTTTACAAATAATTTGGAGTCCTGGTGTGGTGCTATAGGACAAGCGCTGAACTGTTAACTGCAAGGTTGACAGTTCAAACCCACTAGTCACTCCTCAGAAACCTACACAGGGTTGCTATTAGTCTGAACTGACTAAACGACACTCAACAAAAACAACAATAAACGATTTTGTTTATCCCATAACAAGGATTGCCAATTAGAAGTTAAATACTGCCTGTAAGTTTGCTTTGTTTAGCCCGTGAAATATTTAAAGAAAATCTGGATTTGAATGCTTTTGGTAGGGTATAAGGCGGTCAGATGGCACAGAGGTTAAGGGCTTGGCTGGTCACTGGGAGTCTGGCAGTTTGAATCCATCATGGGATAAAGGTGTGGCAGCAGTCGACTTCCATCAAGATTTACGGCCATGGAAACTGTATGAGGCATTTTCTTCTGTCTTACAGAATAACTGTGCATCAAAATTGAGTCAGCAGCAATAGATTTGGGTGGGATATGTCCTTTTAAGGTACCTATCTGACAATCTATTTTAGCTAAAATCTTAATGATAACTATGACTTGATTTTGCTGCTTGTTCCTTTGAGTGGGTTCTTTCTGCTGCTGGTTTTGTCTTACCAGAGGAGGTTTTAAATAGCCCTTTCATTTCACAAAAGGAGATGGTGCTGTAAGGATGAGATAGGAACTGAGTACTCAGTGTAGAAACTGACTTGGGGCTTCATGTTGTGTGGACTGTCTGTCAGTCCATCCCTGGGTTAGGGCCCATGTCCTCAGAGGTCTCTTCCCCTAGTCTTTCTTTTCCTTAACAGTTGCATCATTGATTCAACAGATCTACTCCTTTTGATTCCAGGGGACTTTTCTATGTACCAAACAAGTTGGGTGTGGGTTGTTAGGAGAATTGGATGGAGAGAAGTTGATGCAGATATACTAGGAATGAGGGCAGTGTCCAAGGAAGCAGCCAAGGCCAACTCTTCACCTTTGGCAAAGCCTGAGGAGGTGCTTCCTCCACTATCTAGGACCCTGGAACTTGGTGTGGCCTATTTGGAGGATGAATTGGACTCAGATTCATTTGGCATGAACTAGCTGTCACTATTTGCTTAAGTCCATTTTAGAAAAGGGAGCTTTGTACATATGAAAACATATTTGTTCCCCTTCTCTTAAATAAAGCACGTGCTTAGAAAGTTTAGCTCTTATTTGATACAAGAAGTGTCTTTGTGTTTTGGAAAGACAGACATGAAAAAAGTGACACCTGAGCACTACAAACGAGAAGGTTTGAAAATTTCCACAAATCTCCATGGTCATCAATGGGCCAAGACCAATTATTGGAAGGACTTAAGAAGTGTTTTAACATAAAGAGTTATAGGTATCCTAACTCCAGCTGAACATATAATATTAAAAGAATACATTAGACATCACTGTTGCTTGGCAATCATTATTATAATCCATCTATAAACAATCTTTATTTAATTACAAGAGTTGCAAGCTAGAGGTCAAATATTGCTCATAGACATGATGTTTCAACCCAAATGCCTTGTGTGAGATATGTACTTTGTAGCTCTCTCTACTCTCCATCATTTATTGAACATAATTCATTGAGGGCCTATGGTGTGGTTGGAGTCCCTCCCCCACCCCATACCTGATCTTCCGCCTCCATAAGCATTTGACAAATAACCAAAAGATTTAGTACACCCAGAGGTATTTCAGAACAAAGGCCTAGAAATATACTTTCAAAAACCAGTTGCTGAAAACCCTAGAGCACAGATCTCCTCTGACACACATGGAATCACCCTTGCATAGCAACTGGACTTTTTGAAAAAAATAGTATTCCAAGTTCTGCTGGGATAAAGCAGTGAATCTCATGGCAAGGATGAAGTCCCTGGCCTCAAGGCACACATTTAATCCTATAGATGGCTGGATTTTACTTGTTTTGACACTTGACATACTGACATACTTTCCTGACCCCTGAAGGCATTTGGATCACTAGTAACTCAGTGAGGAATCTCTTATCAGTTGAGCTGAGGAGAGCACCACATCTTCATTTGGAAGCTCTTTGGCTTGGATAAAGACCTGGAACCTTTTAAGAGGTACCTTGTCTCTCATTAAAGGAAGTTACTGAGAAAACACCTAGATGAAAAAAGGACAAGATCTGTTTTGTTGGAGTCCCAGTTTTGTGCTCCACTGGAAAACACAAACTGGACTCTACAAGAAATTTCCCACCTTTAGGGAGTCAATTTTTCCCTGTCTGCTACACAGAAGTGGGTGTGTACTTAGTGTAGCTCCTGGACATCAGGATAAATAGGACTGAATTAATGCTAGGACACTCTGCAGGGCGCTCAACCTCCCTGTTCCTCAGTTTACCCTCTGCCCCAATAAAAGTTAGGGGAAATGATCTAACACAGGGCTAACACTGATTTGTTATGTAAAATGTCCTCTTTTCTTCCCACCCTAGATTTAAAAGTAGACAGCACCTTCTATAGCTACGTTAAATAAAACTATATTTAGCACTGGACAGGGTTTTGTTCAGATCAAAAGCTGGTGGGGATTCAGGGATGGCTGGCAGGGAGCCCTATGTGTGGGAGAAATGAAAAGCTATAGGCTCTTTTCTGCTTCTGTTGCTTACATCTCCAGTGGGAAGAGCTGAATTGCACAAAGAAAATGTGATTCAAGAGCCCAGAGG